TTTGACTAAATGTCATTTGAACAATAACAAAACTAAAACCTCAAACTGTGATCGTCACATCGACAGTTCTTGTTTAGGGAGACGAGACAGAAATGTTCTTCTCCTCCACGGTGATTCTCGACAGTTCTTGTTTAGGGAGACGAGATGACAGAAATGTTGTTCTCCTCCACGGTGATTTTGACTAAAACTATTTACAGTGGCCACCGGGGGGCTCCACCGCTCCCTGCAGGAGACACTCACCTTCATGTCGGCGCAGGTCGAGTCAACGTATCAGCGGCGACACGTCCGAACACGTCACACGTAAACTGTAAACACACGCTGAACGACAACTGGAGAGGCAACGAGTTTAACACTGCTGCTAACACTGCTAATGCTAACACTGCTGCTAACACTGCTAATAACACTGCTGCTAACACTGCTAATGCTAACACCGCTAACGCTGCTGCTGCGGCTGCTGCAGTGTTTGGAGTGAACGTTAATGAAGTTAATAAGCTGCACCTGGTCTTAAATGTCGCCTAATGAGGAGCCGCTGTTAAATGTCTCCCTCTAGTGGAGGAAACGACTTTCTCGAATGTATCCCAGGCTTCAGTTGGACAGTTCTGTCTGACAGTCGCGGACAAACACACCCGTAAAAAGACGTGATTTTACAGATAAAATAAAATACTTTGTTATAAAACTGCAAATAAAGAAAATAAAAAAACTTTTCAGGGAGTTTGGAAACTGTTCAGACCGAAAGTACACGACCATGAAGTGAAACACACCGTGAAACACCGTCATCATCTCTGTGTTTGACTGGCTTTACGGTGGGTTGCCAGATCCTGTAAGGAAAAAAAGTAACAAAGAGAAACTCGAAGACAACTCCAACATCTGAACTGGCCGGAGTCTTCTAGAACTTCAGGGTCTGAAGAACATAGAACTGTTCTGTGGTACCGATCTGTTCAACAGTAATAACAAGAACTACAATAACATTTGTTATAAACGTATAATAATATAAAATAATGGACGACTAACGACAAACTATTTTCCTCCACACCTTTATTTTGTACATTTTACTCTGAAGTTCCTGTGAAGAAAATATGGAGGAAGAACAGGTTTGAAAAGTCAGGGTTAAAGTAACAAGTCCTAGTTACCAGTTACCAGTTACCAGTTACCAGTTACAAAAACCCCAGTTGATGTGAAACATCCACAAAGATTTGAAACTTCACTTGTCTGCGGTGAGAAAAAGTGTTTTTGTGGTTTTTACATTTTTGACATTAATTCAAAAACCTTCAAAAAAAGTTCAACTTCAGTCACTGCATCATTTACGGTAGTGGCGCCCCCTGCTGTGATTTCCGGTGTATTTATGTGTACGGTCCAGTGATGCCTCTACAGGAGGAGGACGGTGCTGAGCGTCCTGTACGCCATGGAAGCGGTCGCCAGAACGCCCACGATGTAGGACAGACCCCTGCTGGGCTGGGGGAGGGCGCCGACGTACGACACGGAGTGGCAGAAACGAGAGCCGACGAAGAGGCGGAAGTGCAGCAGGGCGGTAGGAAGTGCCGGCTGAGTCAGGGAGTAGAAAAGGCCGATCACCACGAAGGGGACGATGTTCTCCAGGTCGTTGAGGTGACACCTGGAACATGAGAACATGGTACTGTTTAACAAGGACCACACCGAGTAAACGCTGCAGCAACTGATGAACAACCGATCGCCTCAGCCTGTTTAGTTGAACAAAACAACGATACTCTTCCAGGAATTGAAGAAAGACACAGTTATACAGTGATTAAAGTTTTCAGGAAAATTCCCTAAAATCGCAACATTATCTGTCGTGACTCACCAAGGTGCCTCGGTACAGTGTTTGAGAATCGGTCTTTACGCAAGAATCAAAAATGTGATCAGTAAGCTAAAGTGCGTAACGGAACTCTAAAGACCCAGAACAAACAATCGAAAAAATCCAAACACTTAAAATGAGACGTACCTGCGGACCCGTTCCACCATCAGATCGGTGCGGACCAGTTTTTTGTCTCCTACAAATCTGGCGTCTTCTACATTAGCAAAAACCTGGAGGAACAGGAAACAGTTGACTCTAAACGTAAAAACCTGGAGGAACAGGAAACAGTTGCGTCTAAACGTCTGTCACGACGAACCAACGAACGTCAAAATGTTTCACGACTAAAATCAAACCCTCGGCAGGAAACACTACCCCCTTCGTGAGGCGGAAGAAGGAAGTCAGCTGCGACATGAACATCATCTTCAGGACGACGATGGTGGCGTAGGTGGAGAACGACCGCAGGACGTCGCTGTCCATCGAACTGAGCAGTGACGACATTTCACCTGCGAGGAAATAAAAACAGGAAATGACACGTGCGAATGTCACATGACCATAACATTTCACAGTTAGAACGGTCCGATCATGTGTTTACGATGCTTCACCGTCGGAAACTACACAGAAAATATTGAACTACTTCGTGTTCATTTATCTGGAGTGTGTTCAACCTTAGGGTCGACACCCCATATGGGGTCGCCTAAAAATGTCAGCAAAAATTATGATTAAATTCCCGCAAAACAATGGAATTATTTTACTTTAATGAACATAAATAAAGTAAAAATATCGGATCATTTTGATTGACAGCTGCGATCGCATGACAAAAAATAAACCTTTTAAACATACCACAGGCAGGGGGCGTACTTTCATGAAGGTTGTCATTTACAGCTTCAATAGTGTTTAATACACGCGTTATAAATTCAAATGATTTATGGTCGACTATTTTTATCGCATTTCGGATAGTGGAAAATTTGTAAAGAAAATGAAAAAAAAAATAGTTTGCAGAGAAAAAAAACACATATATTACAAATATATTACAAATATAATTAGTAAAACCGATCAGACAGACGGCGACGCCTCAGGATATTTGTTGTACCTGAAGTACATGTTTCTGCCTGCACGAACTCAACAAAGTAAAAAAGTTAACGATCTGAATATTTAATGAGTTTCTTTGTAACACCTCCTACTGCAGTACAAGTCGTGTACAACAGAAGTGTACTGCAATACCAAACTACAGAAACAAGAAAAACAAAAACAAAAATGAGTAAAAGACGGAGATTATTTTACAAACAAAAACCCGAGAACGTGACGAATGACGGACGTGTTTGATGTGCGTGCGTCTCTTACCTCGGTTGGTTTTTTTTTTTAAGTCAACGACTGGAGCAAACAGTTCCAAAGATCAGCTGAATAAATAGCAGGATTTGTGTAACCTGTAGGAGGAGCCTCCACCCGCGGTGGTGCCGTACGGTCGTGACAGATCAGACGAAGGTTAGAACTGTGCCTCAGGTCGTATCACTGATGGGCGTCGACGCTAACAAAGTGGAACGACGGGTAAAAAAAAACAACATGTTGTCGTGTTGAACCTCGTTCTGCGATCCATGGGAACGGTCGGATCCTGTGGATCACACAGTCGGAGCTAACTGTTATCAGGTCACGGGTAAAAGGGCAGTCGTTTGATCCTGATCCGGTGATAACCTGTGTTCTACTGCACACCTGTACCTCAGAGTACTCTGAGGTACTCTGAGGTAATCTGAGGTACTCTGAGGTAATCTGAGGTACTCTGATGTACCTGAGGTACTCTGAGGTAATCTGAGGTAATCTGATGTAATCTGAGGTACTCTGAGGTACTCTGGGTCAGGGTTCAGGGTCAAGGTTCGTTAGGGTTCTGGGTCATGGTTCTGGGTCAGGGTTCGTTTGGGTTCTGGGTCAGGGATCTGGGTCATGGTTCTGGGTCAGGGTTCTGGGTCAGAGTTCTGGGTCAGGGATCTGGGTCATGGTTCTGGGTCAGGGTTCTGGGTCAGAGTGCTGGGTCAGAGTTCTGGGTCATGGTTCTGGTGTTAGTGTTGTGTGATTTTATAAATACGTCAGAATGAAAAAAAAAACCCTTCAACAATGTTGATAAAACATTTAATGAGGAGAAAATCTTCCATCACAGCGTAAACGTAGCTAACCATCGTAGAACAACGTGCTACAACTACAGACAACAACAGACAACTACAGACTGTGAAATAAAAACGCTGTTTTGATCCATAATCAACTCTTGGTGGTCGTTATCTTTGGAAGTGAAAACATCGGCCCCTAGTGGGCAGTAATTAATGTGTTTTAACGTAGCCTCGTGAACAGCTAGCTTTAGCTCATCATCAATATATTTGGTCCATAACGAAGTTGGTTTGAGGTTCAACACTGATTCAACACCGCGGTCGCTTCGATCAAATCCCTTCACCCTCGTTTATCAGAACGTGAGCGTAAAGATACAGACACCACTGTACCCCCCGCAGACCCCTACAGGACAAGGACGGTACTGAGCACTTGATACGCCATGGAGGCAGTGACCAACACGCCCACGATGTAGGACAGACCCCTGCAGGGCTGGGGCAGGACACAGACGTAGGACACGGAGTGGCAGACACGTGAGCCTGCGAAGACGCGGAAGTGGAGGAGCGCGGTCGACAGTGCGGGCTGCGTCAGGGCGTAGAGAAGGCCGATGACGAAGAAGGGCACGATGTTCTCAAGGTCGTTCAGGTGACACCTGGAAAAATGACATCACAGGACCAGCAGTCGTTATAAATTCATCCAACCAACCAACCAACCATCGAGGGTTAAAGGTCAGGGGTTTGGGTTTGGATTAGTGGTCACTTTGGTGACTAACCCTGACCTTTGACCCTAAAGTCTCACAGTTAGAAAACGAACCTTCGAACGCGCTCCACGTCTGGATCGGTTCTCAGCAGCTTCTTCTTCTCCTCCATCGTCTTCTTCCTCACGTCCTCCAAATTAGAGAACGCCTGCAGCGCAGACAAGGCGGGCGTTAAACCCAAACACTGTATTTACATCAACATATATTTAAATATAGGTTCATATAACACGTCCAAACACTTCAGGAGGCGCTGTTTACATCAGAGGATTCTGGGGAATTTTTTTTTTTTCTGCAAAACAGGAAATACTACATCAACCTGTCGACAACCCAGGGTTGTCAACAAAAAAAGAAGAATTGTCCTGACATGAATTTGATCTGAACGTGACACCTTTATATTCACCATCTCTGTCATCAGACTTTTTGCCCCCCCCCTTCACTTCCTGTCCTCCCCCCCCCATAAACATTCCAGTAAGGACTGGGTGTGTCTTATCTCTGAAGTACATGTGACACCTGATAAAATATTTATCATGTGAAAAGTCTTTGTTTGTAAAAGTTCATGTTTCAGAGACAGACACGACCACAGGTGTTGCTAACACGCGACCGCGGACGGTCAGCGCGGTGGACGTACCCCTTTGGTCACGCGGTAGTACGAGGTCAGCGGCGCCATCAACATCATCTTCAGAATGACAATGACGGCGTAGGTGGTGAAAGCCCTGAAAACCTCGTTGGCCATGAGCTGCTCCATGTCTGCTGAACTGGAGGAGGAGGAGGACACAAGTTAGCCTAGCTTAGCGCTAATCAGTTAAAGTTTCACAGCTAGTTTTCACTGTTTAAAGTTAGCCGCAGTTGACAGACGACGTAGGAAGAGTTTGGCAGAACAGGAACTTTAGTGAATGAAAAACAAACTTCATCAGAGTCCTTCCAAAAATACACATTAACTACTTCTACAGCTCAGAGTACACGGTCTGGGTACATGAAGTATTTTCAGGTTAATTTTTTAAGTTAAGTTTTTAAAGAAAAAAAAACAAAAAGCCAAATCAGAGTTAAAGTTGAGGAGCTCGACTTACGTTGTGTGCAGCCTCTGCAGGAGTCGGGGGGGAAGTGTCGTCTGTTGCATAACAATGACCTCAACTCTCACCCAGAAGGGGAGGAGGAAGGGGAGGAGGAGGAGGAGGAGGCGGAGGAGGAGGAGGAGGCGGGGCAAGTACGAGGACACGTCCAGGGTTTATCTCTGCTCCTCTGGGTGAGAGGTGAGAGAGTAGAACCAACAACCCTGTGTCTGAGGACAAACAGAGTGATGACCCTCAGGCTGAAACTGCAGCAGGGTGTCAAACATACGGCCCGCGGGCCAAATCTGGCTCGCTGGGGGCTTCAATACGGCCCGTCTGCTGAATGTTGAGAGTGAAACAATGTCCTGCATGTTAGTGAGGATTTGTCAAATACTTTATTATCCATCCATCCATCCATCCATCCATCCATCCATCCATCCATCCATCCATCCATCCATCCATCCATCCATCCAT